CTCCACGATCATGTACTCTGTCTTACTTTTATCCCAGCTGTTCAAAGAAAAGTTGGATAGGATCAATACAACTTTTCCAGATCACTGGGATAACTGGCACTGTAAATCAGACTGGTGTATCAGAAGGCTAGAGAAAAACCGGTACAACTACCAGCATGAGGTCACGCAAAGTATATTTATTTGAAGAAACATAAACAGAAAATACAAACACTCCATTTTTTCATTATCTTATGAACAGTCATATCTGCTACACACAAAAAAAACCATACATTCCATCTGTTTTAAATTTAAAACTTCATTTTCAACCTAAAATGTCAACCTTGAAAATAAAAACCCCATACATTCAGCCTTCATCTGTGGAATAACCAGAAGTTTGAAGCTCTGCTTTCCTCTAGGAGTGTGTAACATACTGTTCTGCACAGCACTGCTGCAAAGTGGAATGTCCCTCTCAGTGACGAGGTTRATAATGTATTAATTAATGAGCCAGATGAAAATGAAAACACACAGCTGACATTTTCTCAGAATAAGAGAGCGACTGGACATGCAGTACAGGAGACCAGTGTCAGAAACTATTTCTGAATAATGATCTTTTGACTGTAAATATTACATTTTAAAGAAAAGTTTRAATTGTTTTTATTCTTTTCTTTCTATTATTATGATCAGTATTGAGAGGATTAGTTGTACTGGTTTGAAAATCAGATAAATAAATATTAAATAAATCTAAACCTGGTACATGATGAATGTTGTTCCTGACATCCATCCTGAATCTACCAAACTGCTGGGAACATAATAGTCCAGATATTTTGCTAAAAGTTAACAAAATTCTACTAAACGTTTTTAACAACACAAACTGAGGGTTTGATCCAGATTAGAACCAGGACTGGATTGTGTGACCTAATCTCATTTTGAATAACCTATTATCAAGATATTTCATGACAAATAGGGGTAACATTTATTTAGAAGTTTTTGCACCTTTAAAAATATATATATACACTGTATATACACTGTATATATACATGAAAAAATCAGTGCAACTTTAACAGATACATATGCCTTCTATTCTTGCTATTTTACATAAACTCCTTCAACAATTAAATAACTTGTTTAAATCAGCATTTTTCTGTCTTTTCAAAATTTGTTYAAAATGATGCTTGTTCAGAAAGTGTTAGGACAGATTTTGCTCTGCCACTCACAAAGCACACCTTTTAAAGTTAAGCTCTGAACACAGAGAATTAGTCATGGAGACGTCTTTTGTCGGGGTGACAAACAGGATTAATGATGAACAAACAAAAAAAATAGAGTTGACTTTTGTTTTGGCCTGCAAATACAGTACAGTATGTGAAATGTTGCGATGAAGAATCAAGAAACACCTGGGTATCTTGTTTTACCTGTTGGTTATTTAAAGGAAATATTTTACTGTGGTTTCTTTTCACMCTCACTGTCAAACTAAAGAAAAGGTCTTTAATTCTGAGCAGCACACAGTCCAAATATGAACATCTTTTTAAATTTCCTGTAGAAACCCATGTTTTCTCTTCAGGGATCTCATTAATGTGAACAGAACAGCTCGCACAATTCTTTCATTATTGTAATCAAGGCTTTGACCAGGTGATACGTTAGTTTTCTGACTGCTTTTTAAAATTACATATAAACTTAATGTGTTAATAGTTATTTGTTAACACTGAACTTGTTAAAAATAAGATTTTGAGGGAGAAAAAACAGTTAATGTCTTACCTGCTGTAGATAACTCTTTCAATTACCTCAATCTCCATGTACTGATGAGCAAACAGCGGGTTTGAGTGCAGCTAATGTTAGTGCTTTAACAGCCCGACAGTGTTTCATAATCCTATATGTTTTTTATTATAGTTTTCACAGAGATTTATTGGGTTCTTTGAGGGCAGAATAGCAGCAGCAGCTAGCTGTAGCACTTCTTGGTGCAGTTGGTCACACTTTTGGCTTGCTTAAAAACATTGTTGCCCAAAATCTTTTGCGGTGTGACGCAAAGAAAAGTGCAATGTGAAGGTTTAGAAATGTTTATACGTGAGTCGCTATGAAACCTTTGAGACTAAAATTGTTTCAGAGAACTACTGTAATCCAATTTAATCTAGTCTCACTTGGACTAACCTTTAGTTCATTAATCCAGTCAGAATGAAACTGTTTCCTCAAACTGAGGTTGTTCAACGAGCTATCTACAACAAGTAAGATATTTACTGTGCATAATCTTTCAAA